ATTAGCGCTTTGAAATCACGAAATCATGCATATTCAATAAATTATGAATAATTTGTCTTAAAGCGGTGGCTTGTGGGAACTCCCATTCAGTGTTAACTGGTTTATTGTAATTGATAGTTACTCACTGATCTGATAAATATTCTTAAATTATGATTCATTCTTTTCTTCTACTTTAGTGTCGTAGTTTAACAGTTTCAGTAAAGATTTTTGTGGTTGCCGTATCGTAGATATTTCTCTACTAAGATCGTTAAAGATGTTATTAATGTTTGCTATAAAAATGGCTTCTTTAAATTTACGCTTTCTCCAAAGAGGTTTATTGTGGACAACCCAAGCTTTCGACCACTTTATATTGTGCTGTTTGGACCAAACATGGTCCGCAATACGTGGCTTTATTGTTTCACCTTTTTGTACATGTTTTTTGTGCTCGCTAAGTCGTACATTTAGGACGTTTAGTCTCTTCAATATACGATTGATTGTATTCAAAAGGTACTTGGTAGATGCACTCTTTCTCTTGTTTTAATGATTCCGGCCTTGTTTTTGTTAAAACGCTTCTTAATATGCCCATTCAATTCGCCGACAGTTCTAGGACTGTGCGATCTAAACTGACGATCTAAACTTAGTCAGGCCACATACAATGTAGTTACGTCGAACGATGTGATCCTCAGTTTTGGGACTGTCAGTTTTTGAATACCTATATATATATATATAATTCAATAATGTTTCTACCTGAAGGTGTAAGGTATACTAAATTAAATAAATTCACTTAATTGCTACACTATACACAAATTGTTTGGTTTGGTTGGGCTTCTATTAATGTTAGTCCTCTATTCTGCACTATCTTCTCTATTGTATCATTCCATGTTTTACTCGGTCTTCCCCTTGGTCTCTTTCCCTGCATTTTAGCTTCCCACACGCCTTTTACTGGTATGTCGTTCATTCTAATCAAATCTCCATACCACCTAAGCTGACATTGCTCAATTTTATTCAGAATCGAATCTACTTTTAGTTTCTCTCTTATAAAGCTATTCCTTAGTCTATCTTTCCTTGTTACCCAAGTACTCTTCGTAGATATAACATCTCCATTCTTTGGATCTAACTCTTCAATCTTTTTAGTTAATACCCAACTTTCACAGCCAAAAATCAACGTCGGTATGAATACTGTCTTGTATACACTCATCTTCAATGCTCTCGAAATTTCTTTTTATTTAAGAAACTGTTCTTAATGGACGTGTTGCCAATTCTTTCGATGATTTCCGTCCCTTCATCTCCTGTGTTGCTGATGTTCACTCCCAAATATTTGTATGAATCGAGTTGTTCCAAATTGATGTCATTTATCTCTATATTCATATTTACTTCTGTTTTACTTAAAAGCATAACTTTTGTTTTAATCTCATTGATTTTTAGATTTCTCTCTCCTAGAGCTTCAGCCAGATTTTAAATTTCTTTTCAGTTCTTTTTCGCTGTTAGCTAAAATTGCCAAGTTATTTGCAAATGCACTTTTGAACTGAAGGAATGTGCTTTCACCACACACACACAAACATGTCGTCGGTTTTAATCGAATGATCTTCAAGTAAAAATGTTTTTAAATACAAAAAATACTCTTCTCGTGCTTTTGTTATTGCAAGAGCCAATTAAACAGACAAAAAGGCGTTTTTGAGTGAAAGATTGGTTGTTGCAACGTGATACAATTATCCCATATGAAGTGCGAAAATTAAAAACTAGTGCAAAATAGATGTCCTTAAAAACTACCTTAGAATGGATGACACACGTTTTAATGAAATTTTAAATATGGTTAAGCCCTTAATATCAAAGAAAAATACAAAAAACATTCACCTGAAAGCTTTGATTTTCGCGCTTTTTAAGTTCCTTTCGAAAGCACTTTACAAATTGTTTATTTTTTTCTCTAAATAATCAATAGTAGCAATTTTTATAAGCTTTAGTTTTTTCCTGTCTTTAGTTATTTCCTTGTAAAACTTAACTTTTAATTTTCCACAGACAGCACAATTAGGCCTATACAAATCAATAAAATCGGTTAAAAAAGTCGTATTATTACTTAAATCGCTCATCTTGAGAGTACAAATCTTCCAACTTGTCAAAAGATGGTAACGTACGCTTAGAACTGTCGATTTTTGCCACACACTTCAGTCGGTCGTGAGATTTAAGTAATCTACAGATTCAGACCTGTCGACAGCCTGTATGTGTATGGAGAAATTTTAACTGACGATATACAAATCGACAGTTCTGGACTGCCGGCGAACTGTATGTGGATGGGCACCTTTAAAGTCGATTCAGATTTGAAGACAGTTTAGTGTTGTATTATTTTCCATCACATCGGAGATGGGAAACAGCTCAGACAAAAAATGTGCAACAAGAGGCACGCCACAAAAGGAGGAGTATTATCACCTCTGCTGTGGCTGATTGTAATGAACCCGATCCTGACCTCTCTGACAACGAAGGGAATTAGGATAAAGGCATATGCAGACGACGTGGAGCATTGATCGTTGGCAAAGACTTGCAGATCAGTGACATCATGGAATTTGCTCTGAAGAAGTTAACGGAATGGACAAAAAGGAATGGTTTGGGCATCAACCCAGACAAAACCGAACTCATTCTGTTTACAAGAAAATACAAGATACCCAAGTTCACGCTACCAAAGCTGGAAGGGAAGACACTTGTACTTGCTAAGGAGACAAAATATTTAGGAATCATTCTGAACTCGAAGCTTTCCTGGAAAGGAACACGGAGGAAAGGATGATAAAGGGAATAAATGCATTCTATGCATGTAAAAAAACTATTTGGAAAGAGATGGGGTCTGCAACCGTACATTATACACTGGATGTACACTGCTATAGATAGATCAATCATCACTATGGAGACACTAGTATGGTGGAAAGCGGTACTTAAAAGAGACTAATAGACAAAGCCTCGCAGAAGTACAGCGATTAGCAGCTCTAGGTACAACTGGAGCAAGGAACAACACAGCGCAAGCTGCGCTAGAAGCAATTCTGGACTTGCAATCAATCGACTGGCTCGTGAAGGATCTGGCCGCTAAGGGTGCCCTAAGATTAAGGGAATCCAATCTGTGGAACCAGACCAACTACGGTCACTCGAGGATATTGCCAGTGATAGGGAAAATCATGGTGAACACGAGTCCACATTTGCTAGACCAGAAAACGGACTATATGCTCACCAAACATGATTTTGGAGAAAAGATAAGGATTCGCATCCCGACAAGAGAAGAATGGGAAAGCAACCGAGTAATGAACACTCAAGAGATAGCAGTCTACACAGATGCTTCCGCAAATTCAGGGGGCACAGGTATAGGCATCTTCTCAGAGAAACTAAATATCTGACGATCTTTGAGGCTATCGGATGGCTGTAATGTTCTACAAGCAGAGGTTTACGCCATAAAGGAAGCGGCTAGATGTATACGAGAGAAAATTGCTGGTAGACGAATAGGGGATATAGTGATATACTCTGACAGCTTGGCCGCTTTAAGTAGCATCACCACGCAATCAGTGAGATCGAAAACTGTGATGGAATGTCGAGAAGCACTGCCCTGGCTGCGTCGGGGCGCGGCTACTCTGTGCTGGGTGCCAGGCCACAGCAATGTGTTGGGCAATCAGGAAGCAGACAGACTCGCCGAAGACGGGGCCAGGGGAGAGGCCGTGGCAGATGACCCACCACTTGTGACGATCAACACACTGAAGGAGGCTATAGGAACTGTCATCAAAGCCAAGCAGCAAGAGACGTGGCAACACCGTGAGGACTGCTCGAAGACTATGGCCAGTGGTAGATAGCAAAAAAACAAAACAACTATTAGAGCACAAAAAGGACCTAGTACGCATAATTGTAGGTGTCGTCACTGGAAACTGTCCCACGGGGGTAAACCTCGTATGATGGAAAGTTTCCGACGACGACTACTGCAGAGAATGCGGAGAGGAAGAAAAAACCATAGAGCACCTGCTGTGCCACTGTCCGGCACTGGAATACCGACGCTTTAAAACTTTAGGGCAAGGTTTTTTGGAGGGACTAGAGGAAGCAGCAGAAGCCAACATCAGCGACATCGGGAACATTGCAAAGAGCTGGAA